CAAATCGTAAAAATTATTGTGTATAGGATATTCCGCTCTTGCTGTTTGCATTTAAGTTTGAAGAGTTTGAAGACAAATTTTAAATGGCTCCGCTCCAGAGCCCTCGAGTGCAAAGGGTTAAATATTATACAATGTGAAGATATCGGTTACAAAAACGAAGTTAATGGTCATATCAAAAGACCCCATCAGATATGATCTGGTAGTTGATGACCGAATAATAGAACAGATATTATCTTTTATCTACCTAGGAATCAATGTTTCTTACAATAGTAACATCATAAAGAAGTACGAACAAAAGCCATTAAAGCAGCTGGTATCACCATGGTTATCTCCATGATATCAAATGGAAAAATAAATTCATATCCACTAAAAACAAGGTTCGGATTTACAAAATCGCGATATGCCCAACATTTACATACGCAGCGGAAATAAGGGCAGAGACATTAAGAACCAAACAAATCATAAGATCAACGGAAATGAGAACACTGCAACTGATAACGAGAGTCACATTGCAGAACAGGCTCAGCAATGAGGAGATAAGGCAGAGATGCGAAGTGCAGCATGTGAAGTGATAGATACGAAGGAGCAGACGTGAATGGAATGCACATGTAGAAAGAATGCAAGTAAACAGTCTGGCTAAAATAGCCAAGATCGGCAAAACAAAATCTAGGAGACCGTCGGGACGCCTGTCCAAACGATGGATAGAATCATGGATAGAAGCATGGATATCCACCTCCCAAGAAGAACATTAGCATTAATGATGGAAAGTATATGGCTAAATTTAGGGCTTGCCCGAAATTAAGAAACGAAGTAAATATTTTAGCTTAATTACGAATTTGCTTAACGACAGTATTTGCGAACGCGAGTCCCAAACTTACCTGTATATCAGCGATGCAATTCAGGAACCGGAAGGATCGCTTTGCTCTGACGCGGGTGTACACAGAGTGGTCCTAATTTAGGTCAAGATACTTAAATTCTTTACCTGGGATGGGATCGCAAGCGAAATAACTGGGGAAAGAGTGATGAATGCGCGAAGGATTTTGAATAAAATAAAATATTAGTTGACTAACAATCTCCTTTATTGAATTACGTTTATTGATTAACAACGTAAATACAAATAAAATAATAAATGAATAAGAAATTTATAACGGAGTATATATTTACTTTGTACAATTTTATTTGTATAAATGGTACATTTAATCGCGTGAGCAAACGTGTATGTATTTGTAAGTATGCATGTAGGATTTTTAGGGGAAGATAATGATTTAGGGGAAGGAGGGTGTGGTAAGGAAATTTCGGACGAAATTGATGAGGCAAAGGATAGGTCTGGGATGTGAAGTCTGAGTGATGGGGAGCGGGAAGCTAGACGAAAGTTCCACGGTGGTTCGGGGGAAGTAGGAAATGTACTTCATGGGGACCGTGGTGGTAAACAATGTGGAAAATTTAAGACGGAATTCGTGGAATTTATTGAGGGAGGGGGGAGATGGCAGGATATGGTATGTATGAAGGGACTAAAAGAGAATGATGAGTTAGTGACGGAGAATTGTCCGGTGTAAGTAGAATTTCCGAAATGTACCTAGCGTGTTCCACTAAAGACTCAAGATCAGCAATGAGCAAATTTCGAAACGACAATGCATGGGCCTGACACCTATCCTCTCCATGCGGGGTATTCACTAGATAGATATCAAGGAGAGTTAGTAAGAGGAAAGATGGGGAAGGCCAGGTGGAACAATGCTGACTGAAATAAGTACTTACTCATTTGGTTGAAGTAGTGAAGTTTTACTAACAAGGGAAGAGTCGGAACAGAATCTCATTGATTTTAATGGACCTTGGAAATATTATAGAGAATTAAAAAAATAAAATACCTGTATTTCATTTTAGCGATGTATCTCGACGTTTAGGAGTTGAAACAACCGCTTGAAGAAACAAAAGTTTTCATTTTTAGTAAATATTTTCTAAAGTATGAAGTATACGAAAAATTGTCTTATACAAAAGTTTTGTAGCCTTTTATACTCTTTGCAACGATGTATTCAATTTTTTTTAAACTGTAATTTTTTAACCACTTTTCCCCTTTTTTCTACTTTCGAAAATTTTTACATTTTTACAAATTTTTATATTTTTAGCAAGAAAAATTATAGAGCATTAAATGCCAAATCCAACCATATGTAATAATAGAAAGTTTCCACAATTAAATCTTTGTAAAACGACATGATATTATTGTGCAATTGGTGGTACAGTCATTGCACAGTGCGAATAGGTAACTACCATTACGTTGTGTTATTTTTCTTCAAATATGCTTTACAACTGCTTATGCATATTTCTCATACTGCAGAATGACAACGAATTAATCCTTATGTTATATTGTGCAACGTATTACACGAAATAAAATCGTGAAATGAATTTGCAAAAACATTTTAAGTATTAAGTTTCACTCGCTATTTGATAAATTTGAATATATAATAATAGTACGAAATATGTGTAACGTCGTTGCTATTTGAAAAGAATTTTATTATTACACTAAAAGTATACATCTTGAATAAAATGTGTGTGAAATTGATATTCATTGCAATCTTAAAGGTAAGTTAATACAAAATCAAGGTGAATTAAAATAAATCTGCAAAGAGTGAAGTACAGAAACACAGATTCTATTACTTTTGCAATAGACTAAATGTGTAGTATGATAATACAACATCATGAACATAGTTGCTAAAAGAGATATATAACAAAAATGTTATACATAACACTTTCGGATGTCACGTTCACCAAATTAGAATCATTAGACGAGAGTTTAAAGATAAATTAAGGTTTCTTTAACCCATTAACGCCCACGGGACACATTTTTCACCGTTTATTTCAGAGCTCTCTAGAGGGTATCAATTCTGGCCTAAACATTTTTTTAGTACATGTGTTTTGAAGATTTTTTATTGATCTTTATAATGATCATTGTTAATATCAGGGAAAAAATTTTTTAACCCTCAAGAATGAGATTAAAGCAAAAAAACACGAAAAATGAAAAAAAATTTCTTTAACTCCATTTTTCTTCTACTTATCGTTCTGCAGTCACCTCAAAAGTGCAAAAAAAGTGTCTTCAGCATCTCAGCTTTAAAAAAACCATTTTTTGAGTTTAAAAATCTCTTCTGGATGATCCAAAATGGCGCCCGGAATGAAAAATTTCATTCAAAATCTTTCGGGCGTTTTAAGTACAGAACTAAGAGGTTTAGCAAAAAAGTTACAAGAATAAGAAGTTCTTAAAATTCATCAAAGAATATACTGAAGTCGTTTCAAATATTTTTGTTAACATTTTTTGGAAATTTGTTTATGCAAAATTATTGAAAATTAAAAAAAATTTTTTTTAGTTTTGGAAAAATTACTTTGTATTCTCTGATGAATTTTAAGCACTTTTTATTCTTTACTATTTTTTTGAAAAGTTGATACTTATCGAGTAAACAGATATGGAAGGAGGAAATGTTTTTCTACACTTGCTTTAGCTTATTTGTACTCCGGTTGAATTTCTTTTATTATTTTCTTTTACATTCATGTATAAATTTATAATAAATAAATANCTTTGATGCATTTTAAGCACTTTTTATTCTTTACAATTTTTTCGAAAAGTTGATACTTATCGAGTAAACAGATATGGAAGGAGGAAATGCTTTTTTACACTTGCTTTAGCTTATTGTGCTCCGGTTGAATTTCTTTTATTATTTTCTTTTACATTCATGTATAAATTTATAATAAGTAAATGAAAGAATAAATAAAGTGCATTCGCAATATATTTTATTTTCAAACAAAGTTTTGTAGTTTCAATGTTCTAGTTTCAATAAAATAATTTTAGATTTTTGCAATTTTCTCATTTTGCAATTTTTTCACGAATGAAGTAAATTTGTAAAAAATTGATTATTTCATTCGTTCGACTCCTCCATCAACATAGAAAATCTAGATGTAATCAATTATTGTGAGAAATAATCTATTATTGTCACAACGTTTCTTTCTTTATTTAAAAATTTCGAATGTCAAAGTGACGATGCCAAAATGAAAAAAAATCCACCTTAAGAATGTTCATCATTGTCCTCCAGTAGAAAAAGATCCAGTAGAAAAAGATCCTTCATTTGAAGTTGTAGAAAATGTAAATCACTGTGATGTTATGTTTTCCCCGATCCAGATGATTCTGGAGAGTCGGNATTATTGTGACATCGTTTCTTTCTTTATTTAAAAATTTCGAATCTCAAAGTGACGATGCCAAAAAGAAAAGAAAATCCACCTGAAGAATGTTCATCATCGACCTCCAGTAGAAAAAGATCCAAGAGACCTTCATTTGAAGTTGTAGAAAATGTAAATCACTGTGATGTTATATTATCCCCGATCCAGATGATTCTGGAGAGTCGGAAAATGATTATTCGGATGATGATGATATTCAACTAAACGAAAGCTATTCTACATCGTTTGATTCAATGTCCCCTAGTTCTTCATATAGTAATATATATGATAAATATAATAACTCTCAAAAAAAGTTAGAAGAAAATCATGACTTTGATTGAGTAAACGGAGAAAAAATGTATACAAACTTTCTCACAAATAAAATATTACTCTCAACTTCAGATAAAAACTTGATTTCAAGAAGTTCTCCTGCTGATATCTTTGAATTTTTTGTTTCCTCACAATTAAAAGCATATCTCATTGAAGCTACAAAAGAAAATGGCTACAATTTATCATTGAGAGAACTAAATATTTTTCTTGGCATTATAATTTTATCGTCATATAATATGAGAAAATCGCAACGAGACTATTGGTCGACAGATCCGTATTTGACATGTGATATCGTTACCAGATCTATGAGTCGAAATACTTTCGAAATAATAAAAAGTAAACTAAAATTTTGCAAATTGGAAGATAAAAATGATTCAGATAAAGTTTATCGCGTTCGACCAACAGTGGAAATTTTCAAAAAGAATATAATGAGATTTGGTTTGTTTTATACAGCATTGTGAATTGATGAGATAATGGTCAAGTATTACGGTAGATGTAAATTGAAGCAATTCATAAAATCTAAGCCGATACGATTTGGTATAAAACTTTGGATCTTGTGTAGCGTGAATGGATATGTTTTTAATTTTGATATCTATTGTGGAAAGAATGAGGAAGTTGACAAGTTATCTAAATGTGCATTAGGAAGTAGAATTGTTCTGCATATGCTTGAAAACTTATTAAAAAATACTTCTTTTCTCAAACTTCATCAATTTCATGTCTATTTTGATAAATTATTCTGTTCTCCAGACTTACTAGTCCATTTGAAAAAAATAGGACTTCAAGCAACCGGTACAGTAAAGGAAAACAGAGCAAGTGTGACAAACGTTTTAGAGAAAAAGGCACCTAGAGGTACTTATGCAGTGCAAAATGATAAAAATAGAGGAATCAATTTTATCACTGTTCAAGATTCAAAACCAGTTTCTATACTATCAACCGCAGCTAGTATCACTCCACAAAGTAATGTAAACAGATATATTAGGTGGTAAACTTAGTTCCTGCGATTTTTTTGTTTAAAAAACTCATTTATTTCGACATCAGAAGCAAAAAATACATTAATCGAAGTATTTTTCCTCGCTAGCTATACATTTTTCCCATCTTTCGGGCAACGCGTAGATTTTGCGACGATAGAACGATTGGTCTTTTGATGCAATCCATTCGTCGATCCATTTTCGCACATTCTCGTAATTTCTGAAGTGTGTATCTACCAAGCCGTGCTGCATCGACCGGAACAAGAAATAGTCCGAAGGAGATAAGTCTGGTGAATACGCTGGGTGCGGGAGAACTTCCCACTCGAGCTGCAGTGTTTCTTTGACGGCTTTGGCAACGTGTGGTCGAGCGTTGTCGTGCAAAAGCATGACTTTACGTCGATTGCTGGCTACTGCTGGCCTTTTTTCCAACAATGCTTCATTCAGACGGTTTAATTGTGATTGATATCGATCCCCCGTAATACTTTCGTTCGGTCTAAATAGCTCATAATAAACGACGCCGTGCATATCCCACCAAATGCAAAGTAATGCTTTGTGGCCATGAATATTTCTCTTTGATGCGGATGTCGATGGTTGGCCAGGGTCTACCCATAATTTTCTTCGTTTATGATTATCGAAGTATATCCATTTTTCATCGCCAGTCACTATGCGCCACAAAAAACTCTTCTTTTTCTGCCTGGCGAGCAGAGAAATAGAGATGTTTAAGCGGTTCGCAATGGCATTTGCGGTTAATTCGTGTGGTATCCATTTTCCCTCCTTTTGAATTTTTCCCATTGCATGTATACGTTTGGAAACAGCCATCGGAGTAACATTTAATGCTGCAGACAATTCTTGGAACGTTTGAATAAAGTTTTTGTCCAATAATGCCTGCAAATCGGTGTCTTCAAACTTTTTCGGTTGGCCTGAGCGTTCTTTATCATTGACATCAAAATCACAAATCTTAAATCGCTGAAACCATACTTAGCATGTTCTTTCCGATGGAGCATAATTGCCATAAGCTTCGAAAAGCAATTTATGAGCTGCAGCTGCAGTTTTTCTCAAGTCAAAGTAATGAAGCAGCATATGTCGAAAAAACAACTAATCGCGTTCTATATTTAATCAAAAGAAATAATAGCACTGCTCACTTAAATGAATCTCTTTGCACTGAATTTTATTGACAAATGTCTAACCTCTAAAATGCAGCCAGTTTCAGATGTCAAAATAAATTACACATACAACTAACGTCATGTGAGCCGCAGGAACTAAGTTTACCACCTAATAATATGGAAGAAAAAAAGGAAGGAGTTCTATCATTTCCTAACGCATTTACAGTATACAATAAATACATGGGTGGAGTTGACTTACACGACCAGTATTGTAATAGCATCTTGCACATTATTCGATCTAAAAAATCGACGTGGATAACACGGGACCACAAAATGGTTTTGGGAGTCTACTGGAATTCTAATAAGGATAATTTATGTTTTTGGGGTCGCTGAACACGAATCCATTCGCAAAATTGAGCCAGCACGTCAGGATTTGAAGTAAAATTTAAAAAATGGTAAAAAATCTGGAANAAAAATCTGGAATTTCTGCATAAATTTCGTTCCCAAATGTACAAACCCCAAATTAACAAGCCCCAAACCCCAAACCCAAAAACCCCAAACCCACAGGCCACAAACCCACAATCATGTTTTACTCGAATACTATGTGGTTTAGGTATATACAAGGTAACCCATTTTAATCGATGGACCCTAATTCCTCCGATTCTATGCGTGGTACGGAAAAATGGTTCTGACATAAGTTGTTCAGGACAAAGGAGGGCGTCCATCCGTACGATTTGTTTTGACCTTGAGATTCAATGTCAAGGTCATTTTAAGGTCAGAGTAATTTTTTTGAATGGAAAGCCTTATTTTTGACAACGGATACAAAAAAAGAAGGAAATTTTAATTCAAAAATAATATTTTTTAACTTTTTTTTCATGACCATACAAAGGTCATTTTAAGGTGAAAAGCCTC